TGGCTTCTGTATTATTTTCTGCTGCTATAACAAAATACCAGAGGCTGGCTATTTTGTAAAGAAGAGATTTATTTAGCTCACAGTTTGGGGATCTTAAAGTCCAAAATCAGGAAGCCTTATCCATTTGGGCCCTGGTGAGGGCCTCATGGCAGATGGCATCATGATGATGGGAGCCTGTATGGAAGAGATCACATGGTGAGACAGGAAGCCAGAGAGCTTCAGGGGTCAGGCTTTTTTTTTTTTTTTAATAACAGCCCATTCTTGGAGGAATTAAATCACTCCAAAAGGCCAGCAGTAATCCCTTACAAGGGCAGCACCCCCAGAGACATTGTGCTAAGCTCCACCTTTCAAAATTTCCATCACCTCTTAATACTACCACACTTGGGACCTAGCATCCAATACAGGAACCTTGGGGGACAAACCAGAGCAGCTTCGAAATTCATACCCCAGCCCTGACGCCGGCCCTGAACTGCAGCCAACCCTCCACCTCCCATCCTCTCCCCTGGTGGCTGGGAAGCATCCCACCTCCTGCCCCACCAGCCCTTCCCACTGCCAGCAAATGGCCCCACCCACTTGGAAGATCAGTGTAAACACATAGGGTCCTCCTTGCCTCTGCTGGCTTCACTCAGCCAGCAACTCCTGTTATTTCTGTCCCCAGTGCATGGCCTGAATCAGCCCTCCAGAGACAGGTTGCTGACGGGTGGGTCCCTCTGCCCGCAGTTCTTCCTACCTTCATCTTGATCTGTACACAACCATGATTACTTTTGGGTTATAAATTCTGCTTTACTTTCATCTGCAGATAAATTTGAGCTAAGAAAGGAGAGGGAAGGAAAGGAAAGAACTGGCTTCCACCCCAGGACCAGAGCCAGACCTAGAGGCCAAAGCAGAGAGGGAGGTTGCCCTGCCATACCGGCCTCCCCATGCCTGGCCTGGGGACTGGTGCCAGGATGGGTCTCCGAGGATGTTTGTGGGAGAAAGAGGGTGCCTGGCTTTGGAATCCCACAGCCTGGATTGGAATCCCACTTCCGCTGTGACTGTAAGACCTACAGTAACTTGCTCCATCTGCGGTGTTCCCACCATGAAATGTACAGTTCAGAACTGTGGAGGATAGTGGTGAGGGTGAAACGGGGGTGCTTGCACATGTATTTGAATTTGAGAGGCACTCCGGGGCATGGCTGTGTGTACTTTCATCGGGTCCAGAGAGGGCATTTGGAGACAAATCACAGGTTAGAAGCTGGGTGGTCTTGATGTGCTCCCTTGCTGACCTCTTGATGTTACTGGATTTCTGCCTGTCACCTACAGGTTCTCCATAGAGAATTATTGAGACATGGATTCTGACATGTTACACTTAGGCCAGCACTGTGCATCATAGGTCTGGCTCAGAGAGGGAAATGGCCATTGAGGACAAAGCTCCTTGCATAGGATAAGGGAACCCTGCCTCTTCCTGGGGCTATAAAACAGTGGGCCCCGGTCTGTGCTGCCATATACATTATAACCCAGCTTCGTGAACACACCAAGCTTCTAGGACTCAGTGTTTAGGCCTGCTTAGTCACTTTCTTCATTGCTGAGACAAAATACCCACCCCTATCAATTTAAGGAAGGCAAGGTTTGTTCTGGCTCACAGTTTGTAAAGGTTTCGGTCCTTAGCTAGTCAGCTGGCTCCAAGACAGATGGTATGGCAAGGGGCATGGGGAAGAAGAAGCTGTTTGTGGCCTGACAGCAAGGGGCATGGGAGAGGAGAAGCTGTTTGTGACCTGACAGCAAGCAAGCAGAGAATGGAGGAGCTAGGTAGGGAGATAAACCCTTCCAGGCCGTTCTCCCAATGCCCTGCCTCTTCTGACCAGACCCCATCTCCTAACAGCAAGTCAGCAATAAGCCTCCATAATCCAGTTACCTTCCAAAATCCTCACCTGTGAGCCAGTGAGGCTCTTGAGTGACATGGAGCTATAAACCATCTCCACCTACTGTTGCCTGTATCTTGAGCACTTATGTCTACTCTTAACTGGCCTCTTCTCCCTTGGCCTTCGGGTCTCAGCCCCCTTATCACTATCAGAAGCCTTTTCTGGTCCACTGTCAGGCCCCACTTTAAGCAAGTCCACTTTCACATACTCTCAGAGAATCCGAGACCTGCCACTCCCTGGCTCTGTGACCTTGAGTAACTATCTCTGAGTCCCAGAGCTCCCCCGATGAAATTGTCCACTTTAGAGCCATATAGGATGGTGGCCTGTGGTGGCACTCTTCAGTTCCTCTGGAGCAGGAGTGCTGTGAGCACAGGAGCCACACCTGTTTGTTCGCCTCCCTTCACCCAGCACCCAGGAGCTCTTGGCACCTCGCCAATGCTCTATACCTTTTGTTGAATAAAATAATGACAATTCAGCTTTTGAACACATAGTGCCATGCTCTGTTATACTCTTACAAGAGTAACTCAATCTCCTTAACATAGGGTGTTGGGGCTGCAAGGTGAGTGTTACGCCACTTTAAGCTGAGGCTCCAAGAGGCAAAATGACTTCTCTAAGGTCCAAGAGCCAAGGAAGCCCGAGCCAGGACTTACACCTAAGTCTGCCCATCAACACAGGCCACACTGTTGACCCAGATGCTACACTGAGGCTCAAGGTACTATGTCTTGTACTGGGTGCAAGAAGAGGTACTGGGATGGGGGGACAGGCTGTGTGGAGCCAAGAGCAGGGCCCTGAGCAAGCAGGGGCCAAGGCAAGCAGAGGCCAACGCCTGTAGGCTTGCCCTGGCAGGACAACCCAGGGTGGGGCAGGGAGCCCTGGGGAAAATGCATTACACCAAGAAACTCCCAGAAACTTCCACTTGTCTAAAACAAATGACTTTTCCAAAAAGGTTCTTGTTTTATTCTAGTTTTGTACATGCCTTTTTTCTGATTACAAAATCTGTATTAGAAAAAAATGAGAAAATCAGAAAGCTATAAAGGAAATTTCCACCCAGAGATCGCTGTCCTTAAATTATGTACCTCCTTCTGTTTTTCATAGGCACCTATTTCCTCCTATGCATACACTAACCATAAAGTTAGAATCATACCACAGATTCAGTTTTGTACCCCCCTTTCATTCAGTGTTTTATTGTGGGCATTTTCTCACATTGTAATACATTAACTAAAAAATTTTTTAAAAAATATTTGATGGTTTTCTGGTAGGAATGTGTAGTAGACATGTTTATTACAGAAAGAGAAATCTAAAGTATCATAATCTCACTCGCTGAGAGATAATTACTGTGTTCTTACATCCTTTTCCAGAACCTGATTTCTTATGTACATAAAATGATACAGACACATACATGCTTTTTTTAAAGAACCAAGTTGAAATCCCACATCTTCCTCAGGCCATATATGGAAAAGCATTCTCTAAGATTTGCAAACTCAGAACCAGGAAGTAGCTGAGTGGTGAGAGGGCCACCTCAGGACCTTCTGAAAGGGGAAAGCAGACCACCTCAAGTCAAAGGCCAGTTGCAGCCTGTGTTACCATGCCAGAATTCAGGCCCTTTCCACACTTCCTGATTTTCTGAGGAGCTGTAACTCTGCTTATGTGGAAGGTATCTGGGGCACACACTTTGAAGAGCATGTTCATTATTATGACTTCATTGTGTATTGGGCAAACTAAAAAGGAAGATATCCGCGCCCCCCCCCCCCCGCATGATACAAACTACAGAATGGTAACATTTAACAATGTCCTGGTTAGGTAGGGTTTTAAATTTCAGAAACGTTTTGTTGTGTAGTTATTATGAGTAACAAGAATATTTTTATCGCTAAAAATCTTCAAATTATTTTTAATGAGTGTCTGCATGATTGCTTTATTTAGTATGGTGGTATCTCAGAGAGGAGATCTTGGTCATTCACTCATTCTTCCAATAAACTATTCTCCCTAAGCTTAGAGAACATGGGGTGAGGAGACTTGCAAAAACCCTGCCCTCCAAGGACTCACATTCTAATTTGGTAGAGAGAAAATAAACACATCTACCTAAGTAGGAAGACTTGTATTATCTAAATAAAAAAATGTTTTTACTTTTGCTCGTTAACTGAATACTGTATAACATCATGAACATTTTTCCAAATCACTAACAGTTATTCAGAAATACTTTCTTAAAGCTTCACCTTAGTTTTGTTGTCTAGAATAAGTGGCTCTCTTGTAAAGACCTTTTGCACTCTACCCATCTGGAGACCTGCCCCACCCAGCCATTGGGCTTCATGCTGCCACACAGTAGTGTAGACAGCCCAGGGCCTGCCTTCTCTGAAGCAGGGTGTGAAGCATCCAGACAGCCTAGGTTCAAGTCGAGTTGGGTGTGCCTTTGGTCATGTTCCCTATCCGCTCTGCCTCAGCTCCCTTGATAAATGATGGAGTAACAGTGCATACCTTGCAGGGTCGCTGTGAGGGTTAAATGAGATATTGTGTGAAGGATGACTGGTACCTGCTGCATGCCAAGGTTGCCAAGACAGGGGCCGCTTTTTGTTGGGGAGATAAAACACTACTAGGGCCTTTTCCTATGCCCTTTAAATGCTCAGATAGTATGAAAACGTATGGAGGAAGGGGATAGAGGAGGAAGAAAAGAAAGGGTGAGAGGGAAAAGGAAGATCAGTGAGAGGAGAAAGGAAAAGGAGAAAACAGACAACAGGAGGGAAAAGGAGGGGTGGAGAGAAAAGAGGGGGAGAAAAAAGTAAAGAGGGAAGGGGGGAAAGGGTTGAATAAAGACGAAGAGGCGGAGGAAGGATGGAGACAAAAAGGAGGGGTGTGGAAGGAAGGAGGCAGGGGAAAGAGCAGGAGGGTGAAAGGGGCAGAAAAGCCTCCAAAGGAAAGAGCACGTTCAGTTAAACCAAGGGTTGTGCTTAAATTAATCCAGTTGTGCGCACCTGTGGCTCGCTGCGTGCACAAGCCTGCAGACACAAGGGATGCGGCGGGCTGCAGGTCGGGGTCTGGGGCCCGGAGCGGACGGGCCGGACTCCGGGCCCGGGGCGCTCACACCACCTCCCCTCCCGCCCGCAGAGAGCGCCTTCGCCGACACGCTGCCGCCCGCGCGCCTCAGCCAGGCCCGCTTCAGCGCCTGTCTGCCGCCCAGCAGCCACGACGCGGCCAACTTCGACAACAACGAGCTCGAGAACAACCAGGTGGTGGCCAAGCTGGGCCACCTGGCGCTGGGCCGCGCGCCGGGCCCGCCGCCCGCCGACGCCGCGGCCGCCGCCATCCCGTGTGGCCCCCGCGAGCGCCCGCGGCCCGCGTCGTCGCCGGCGCTGCTCGAGGCCGACCTGCGCTTCCACGCGACGCGCGGGCCGGATGTGAACCTGTCGGCAGACCGCAAAGTGGCCTTCGCGCCGCGGCCCGAAGGCGGTCGCACCCTCGTCTTCTCGGAGCGCCCGCTGCGGCCCGGCGAGAGCCTCTTCGTGGAGGTGGGTCGCCCGGGACTGGCGGCGCCCGGCGCGCTGGCCTTCGGCATCACGTCGTGCGACCCTGGAGCGCTGCGGCCCGCCGAGCTGCCGGCCGACCCTGACACGCTGCTGGACCGCAAGGAGTACTGGGTGGTGGCGCGCGCCGGGCCCGTGCCCAGCGGCGGCGACGCGCTCAGCTTCACGCTGCGGCCCGGTGGCGACGTGATGCTGGGCGTCAACGGGCGCCCGCGCGGTCGCCTGCTGTGCGTGGACACCACGCAGGCGCTCTGGGCTTTCTTCGCCTTGCGCGGTGGCGCGGCCGGCCAGCTTCGCCTCCTCGGTGAGTCCCGCCCCGCCGCACTGCGCTTGCGCGGGTGTACCACCACTTCCCTAGCCCCTACCCCAGCCTACCATCAATATGGCTCGCTTGTCAGGAGCGCCTGTGACAGTCTGCTAGCCCAGACTGTCCCTGGTCGCACCCACCTCAAAGCTTCCCTTTCGTAGGTCTGGGCGCACCCTAGAAGATGCATTCCTAACTGGTCCCCCAGTGATGCGGGCTCTATGCCCTGGACAAACGTTTTAAACCATTTATCTACCTCGGTAACTGACTGGTCTCAGCCTGCAGGCTGTATCCAGTCTATAAATGGCCAGTGTGGTTTGATTTTCCTTCTTATGATTTATTAGTGTTTTTCATGACATACATAATATATATTGAGTATATGTAGGAAACAAAGTAAATTCAGTGGCACATGCAAGTGGACATCCAGGCAGAGAGAAAGATGGCTTGAGCCATTCTATTTTGGAATGACTCTTGTGTTCACCCATGCCTAATAGACACGGAGAACCCACAAGCAGTGGGTCAGGCCCTGGGCTCCAGGATAGGACCCCCACAGAACAGGACACCCACATGCATGTGAGCAGCTCACAGGTGTGGTGTGACAGGACTGCAGCAGTGGGGCCTCTCCCAGCATGGCCGAGTGCGGGCAGTGGTCAGGGACGCTCCCAGAGAGCACAGATCCCCTCTCATGGCTCCAGACGTCAAGACAGGAGGATCAGTTGACTTTTCATATGCTGCCTCACTGCATGTCAGCCTCCCAGTGACCTTCTGTAAACATTATCCCTATCTACAGACAGAGGAATTGAAGCACAGAGAAATTAAATGACAATCTCAGAGACACAGCTGGTCAGCTGTGAAGATGTTGGACCCATCACAGCCTCTTCTGAGTCTCAGTTTCCTTTGGGGTAGAATAAGAGTAGCACCTGCACAGTGAGTTTGTCATGAGGATGAAGGGAGGGGTGCGCCCATGCCTCCCGCAGGTGTCTGGCACAGCCTTCTTAATCAGCCATGATAGTTACAGCAGCAGCTGTTGGTGTCTGAATGAGGGCAGAGGAGGAGCAGGGTGTCAAGGGTGGTTGTTGGGTGGTTTTATTTTTGTTTTGAAGAACCTTCAGACATAAGCGTCATTTCAGCCTGAGATGATTGCCCAAGTTCCACTGGGGCTTCGAAAGGACTAAGCCTAGAATCGTTTTTACCTCACCCCCAGCACCTCTATAGTAACCAGGCAGAGGCTTGAGTGGTCAGGAAGAGAGAGTAGAAGGGTAGGGAGTGCTTCTAGAGGCCAGGGACTTGTTCCCTTGATCCCTTCCTCAGAGTAGCCCCAGTGCTACATTATCTGACTGTTCCTCTTCATATAGAGGAAGGGAAAGGGCATTTCTCTTTGACCTAAGAAGTAACATCTTGTTACCTGAATCAGTGGGCCTGGGGGAGAAAACTTATCCATGTTGACTACACTAGCAGTGAAGGACCTTAGAGTTGCCAGTGACAAAAACCCCATTTTTAATGCTCTAAGCAAAAAGGGAAATTTATGAGCACATCTAACTCAGAAGTCTAGGATGGATTCAGGAACAGCCCAGGACTCCATCTCTCTTTCCATCCCAACCCTTGCCATAGGGTGGCTTCTGTAATGCCAGACTTACCTCCCAGTAGAATGAACCCTTTCTTGCCCAGCAGGTGTAGAGGAATTCACAGAATAGGGCCTCAGTGGCCCTGCTGGGCTGTATGCCCTTCCCCGAACCACCCCTAGGACTGAGGAGTAGAAGTTCTTACTGGCCTGCTCTGGGCATGTGAGAGTGAAGTAGTGCCCCAAAGAACATCCCAAGTGCTGTTTCCAAAATAAACAGACGTAGAGGCCAGGCAGGCAAAGAGCAGATGGCCACCCCACTCACATGAGCTCCTCATCCTCAGAGAACACTAGAGGTGGGCATGGCTCTTGTCCTCTCATTAGTCAGACGGGAAGGCTCAAGTGTGAAGCAGGGAAGATGCAGGGCCCAGCAGGGTGTGTCCAGCCTCCCACTGGCACTCATAGAGTCTCTCTGGGTCTCAGGTACCCTGCAGTCCAGTCCCACAACTACAACTCCGTCAGGCTCCTTCAGCGGCTCCCAGGACGATAGCGATTCAGATATGACTTTCAGTGTCAACCAGTCCTCCTCGGCGTCAGAGTCATCCTTGGGTAAGGAAGTGTAGACCCTTGCGGGGGTCGGGGGCCTGATGCTGGCTTGGCTCCCTTCCCCCAACATCTACTCCTTCCCTCTGCTGTACTTTGCTGGAGAAGGAGGAGCATGCAGCTGTGGCTCCCACAGGGCGATGATGGTGGCATTTTATCTCGATGCTTGGTGGGATGGAAGGGTAGGATGAGGTGCACAACCGGAAAGCTAAACCAAAATTGTTTCCAAGTCATTTTCCCCACCGGTTCCTGGGTAGAAACTTCATTCTTGGGGTTGCCCCAGCACAACCCAATTGGGAACTGCATATTAATGGATGTCTTGTTCTCCCTTTGGGCAGTGACGGCCCCCAGCTCCCCACTGAGCCCCCCGGTATCCCCAGCATTCTCCCCACCAGAGCCAGCGGTCAGCAAGAATGGCGAGTGCACGGTGTGCTTTGACAGCGAGGTGGACACTGTCATCTACACGTGTGGACACATGTGCCTGTGCCACAGCTGTGGCCTGCGGCTCAAGAGGCAGGCGCGGGCCTGCTGCCCCATCTGCCGGCGGCCCATCAAGGATGTCATCAAGATCTACAGGCCCTAGCCTGGCCCTCCAGCCAGCCTTCGGTGCAGCAAGGTCACCTTTCTGAAGCTCCCACTGGGCTGGGCAGCCACCATAACCACCAGGGAGTCCAAGGGCAGCAGCCATCTCCCGTCTGCCACTCTCCAGTGGTGGGCAAGGCATGACAGTTGTAGAGATGAGGCCCTGGGGGTCTGAGCCCAGGCAAGGGTTGCTTCTGGCTCAAAAGTGCTTTGCCCCCAAAAGGCCATCCCAAGCAAGCTCAGGAACTGCCTGGTAGATGCCCTGTCCCTTGGTGACCTTTCAGCTGGGAACCAGCACCCTCTGTTGGTGCAATGCTTCTTTCTGGGGTTGGGTTGAGTGTGTGAGGGGGGAGGGAGGGGGAGACTGCACAGAGAGAATGTGAGGAGAGAGCCAGGAAGGCATGGGTCTTTTACGCAGGGATGCTGGCTCTGGGAGGTTATTTAACACTAAGGACTGTGCAGTCCAGAGCCCAAATGTTAGTGGAACTAGAAACTTCATTTTCTGGGGCTGGGACGGAAGCTGGTTTTGAATGTACATGGCCTGAACCTACACAGCACTCTCTTGGATGGTATGGAAAAGAGGCACGGAGATTTTCTAAGGGAAGGCAAAAATAACTCATTGTTTACAGCTCCGAAGCAGCCGCTCTTGGTGGCAGGAAGGTGGGTGGAGAACATCAGAGACACTCACTTTTTTTGGTTCTTAGTCTGGGAGGAGCGTTTTCATGGGTGCTAAGGCTGGGCACTCTGGGCTGTGGCATCTTTTCACCCTTTACCCTCAAACAGCGTAATAAGCACATTGCACCTTGACTCAGTCCCTGGATGCTTTCAAACTTTGTTAACACCCTGGCCTTCTCCAAGGAGAAGACTGGAGGAGGCACTTTTGTCCTGGGGAGAGGGAGGACCTTAGAGGCAGGTGACTCAAATGGAACTTGGAAATGCCACCACAGAGTACAGACAGCTGTCCGTATTTCCGGGGGTGGCCCCTGGGCCTGGCACTAAGGGGCTGTGGCATTCCCAGGGCCAGAGGCTGCCAGTGGAAGCAAGAGGGGAACCAGACTTTGATGGTCCTTGCTCTGATTCTCAGCACTTCCCTGTTGACTAGTAAAGTGTGGACTGAGGAGTGAGTTAAATAATCATTGAGATATTAACTGACAGTGCTGACTTTGGGATTCTTCCCCTTCCGAGATCTGCTTGCTTGTGCTTCCCATGACCCTGGCCCTGACCGCCTGGGCCCTCACCCAGCCCATCTCTGCAGACCCCGTCTCTGCAAGACATGGGGCTCATGGGCTGACCCAGGCCTGCTCCTCGTTTCCTGCCCCAGTCTGGGCTCCCCCTCTGTCCTGTTCCAAGCTATACCTTTGGGGGAGTTCCTTGGTCTTTCTGTTTCTGGGTTCCTAATTATCAGTCAAACACCTGACTCCTCCTCTATCAGCTCTTAGGAGAAGGGGCCCAGCATTCTAAAAAGTTTGAGCTAGGTTGCAAAGAGCAATTAGCTTCTTTCTTTTTTTTTTTTTGGTACTGGGGATCGAACTCAGGACCTTGTGCTTGCCAGGCAGGCGCGGTGCCACTGAGCTAAATTCCCAGTCCAATTAGCATTTTTCTTACAGCTCCTAATCACTTCATCTCTTGCTGAGAGAGAGAGAGAGAGAGAGAGAGAGAGAGAGAGACAGAGACAGAGAGACAGAGACAGAGAGAGAGAAGAAAAATGTTCAGGGAATTTTTTCGTTCACTTAACAACCCCTTGCTGGGAGCCAGGCTAGGCTGGGCCTCCTGAGATCCAGTTCCAGAAGACCAGCCCCCCACCCCCACCCTAATCTGGAGGTCCTGGGCCAAGCGCTTTTTCTCTGGCTAGGAGTGGTTCTGGTTTTCTGACCTGATCTGGACTTCAGAAACACTACTGTCTTGCCCAGCCAGACGCCCTGATCTCTGACTTTCCCCTAATGAATCTGCCCAAATTTTACCTTTGCAGCAGAATCTTTTGAGGAGCTACTAGAACCCCAATGTTTGCCATGGTAAGAATTTAAGAATCAGGCAGCCCTGGGTGCCCAGCTGAATTTGTTCAGCAGGACTTTTCCGTTTCCCTGTGTGCTGGGTGGTGTGGCCAGAGCCACCAGAGGCTCCGTCCCCCAACCGGATTGAGACAGTCACAAATTCCAATGGCACCAGTGGCCTGGGAGAGCTGGCTGCCTCCTTCCTGCCCCTTGCCTTTCCCAGCTGACTCCTTGGTTCCAGCAGAGGTCACATGTAGCCAACCCCGGGAAGCCAGAGCTGAGGGCAGGACCCAGGGTGGACCCGGCCTGCTTCTGGTGACCTGTTACCTGGGAAGAAAGGAGCCACCGGCCTGTTTAACCTGCTCTGCAGCCACTACAAATAGCCTCCCTGTTTCCCAGAGGAGCTAAGGGGGTGTTTATGCTCTGCAAACCAGACATTTCCTGATACTTAGGGAATTGGCACGTCTTCTACTATGCTTTGTCTGGAGAAGGGGTGGGAGATGGAGGAAAAGGAACGAAGATGTCTTTTATTCACACCTACTATGTGCCTTGGCGCTGAGCTACAGAGGCACCTTCATGCATTGGCCCCAGGAAGCCAATCTTAGTGCCATATCAAGCCCCTTCTAAGACGCCTCTGATAAGAAGACACCATTTTATGTACCACTAAGAAACCACTGCCAATTTTAGCTAAGATGCCACAACTATATAATCCCTTCCAATTGGAGGTGTTCAAGTGTGAAGAACTGTGATTCTTAGAATCCAGGAAAGAAGATATTGTCCCCACTTGACAGGTGAGAGAATTGAGCTTCTTTAAGTGAAGTAACTTAAGGATCGCATAACAGGAAGTGGGTAGGACTGGGATTCAGGCCTAGGCACATCTGGCACCAATCCCGTGCTCCCCACTGCTGGCCCCTGGGCCCCAGAAAGCTCCAGGTGGTCCGTGTTTTCTTCCTTGAAACTTCTGACCCGAGCCTGGGCATGTGTGCCTATTGAAGTTTCCAGGCTACAGCCCCTCTGCTGCCTGTACCATGCAAGGACAAGTGTCCTCCTTTACTGGCTCCTTGCTCACTGCCACATTCTCCCAGTCAAGCTGAGCATGGGAGAGCTTGGCTCCAGCCCGGGGTCTTCTGCTACTCAGAAGCGCCCACGAAGGCAGCCTTGTGCAGGGCCCCTAGCCCCCAGCTTACCAGGCTCACTGCCCATGGTGAGCCCTTTGGGGCTGTAGCGGCCAGGGCTCCACAGGCAGGATGGGAAAGACCAGGAGACACCACATTTGTCATGGTCTTGTCCCTGTCCACTCGGAGCCTCCTGGAAAGCTTGGCTGCCTCCAAGGCAAATCCAGCCCCCTTTTCTAGTGCATTCCCGGAACGAGGAGTCTTGGGATTTAGCCACTGGGGCAGCTGCTCCCTGACCTGCAGCCCCACTTCCTCTGTCATTTGACATTGACAAGAACAGGATATATTCTGGGCACAGGGTTGAGAACCGAGACCAAAGGCAAAGCCAATAAGGAGCTCACAGTCTGGAGGAAATGGTCAGATTGCAGCAGAAGCCTGATTATCAGTGTTCAGGGGGCTGGTACAATAATTCTAGATGCACAAAGTCGTTCAACAAACACTTGCTAAATGCCCCTTTGCTATGAGGTGCAGGGGATGGAGCAGAAGGACCATGCCCCAGTTCTGATGCCAGAGGTATAACATTAACAGGGTCCTGAGATGTGAGGGGCAGAATGCATTAGGCTTTCCTGGCCCTTCCATTGTCTCCTGTCCGTCTAGGTAAGTGCCCATTGACTGCCTTCCCAGCCAAGAGTCTGCAGCATGCTTTGCAGAACCTCTTCTGCATTAGAAATGGGGGACCCCTGGGATCTCACAGTCTCCTGCAGGTCATGCCAGGGGGGAACTGGGGAGATGCCACCTGCTACTTCCAGGTCCTAGAACTCCCTCCCAAGGCCCAGGAGAACCCCAAGGGAGTCCATGCCAGCTGAGAATGTGGTTGTGCAAAGACTTGGTGAACGAGAGGCAATAACCTCCCACTGCTGGACCCCATCAATGCCCCAGTCTGGCAGGGGGACACCAGCTCAGGAACATGTGGCCTCCTGGTATTTCTTGGTATTTAACTGTCTCATTGTCTTATCCAAGTCCCTAATGAAATGATTTGTACAACAATCTGTCTGTGCCTTATGAAAGTGTCTGTGCACTTTTTATCCTTTTTAAAAGCAACTTTTTAAAAGTGGACGGGGGACAAGCAGACATGGTAGGGTTCTGGAAACCTGTGGTTAATCATCAAAACCCTCTTGCATTATTGTGGATGTTGGAGTGATAAAGTGTCCACCCTCAGCCCACTCCCCACAACCTGTGTACAGACCTTTTAAAATGTCTATCCCTCTTATTTTTCTGTTTCAATACTGTGACCTCTCCAATACAGTCTAATCTTTGGGGAACTATACTAAAGGTTTTAAAACTTGGGGGAGTGGGTTGGAAAGGGTTTGCACTGGTCTTTGTGTATTGTGCTTTTGTGTGTTGTGTGTTTTGATTTTTGTCTGTTTTTATCTGTTTTATATTAACATAATTTTCCTGTTTGAAAAACAAATATAACTTTGGCTTGTTAAAAAAATAAAGTTTCGGGCCGGGGATTTAGCTCAGTGGTTTTGCCGCCTGCTGCGCAAGCGCAAGGACCCGAGTTTGATCCCCACTACCCAAAAAAATAAAATAAAATAAAATAAAGTTTCTTCAAGACTCAATTTTAAAAATCACACCTGCATTCAGTGTCGGAGAGTGGAAGTGAGGGATCCAAATTGTCACGAGCCTTAAAGCAAATTGCAGACTGTCTGTGGAGCCCTGACAATGTCCAGCCCTTTTGCCAAGTAACTCACTTCCACTAAAATGTTGCAAGGAAATCACTGTAACCAATGATAAGCTGTATGTGTAAAGATGATGGCTGCAGTGTTATTTATAATGGTAAAAACTGAGCAGCCCTAATGCTCACCAAGCAGAGTACATTCACCAAAACTCTTGACCACAAGTGACAGGAAACCAGTTTGAATGGACATAAGGAGATAACCAACTAGGGTAACAAAGTTCATGGGCAGACTGTGCTTCGGGTGCAGGTGGGCCCAGCATTTGAAACACTGCATTAGGGACTCCGTTTTCCCCCCTGCCCTCTTTTCTGGTCCCATTCTCAAGCAGGTTCTCAAGATGGCAGCCTACTTCCTGCCTCAGGTCTTCCCTGCTTGGACCAATTTGGATCACATGTCCCTTCCTGAACCAATCCGTGATGCCAGGGAAATACAGGCTCTGATTGGTCAGACCCAGGATGTGGTGGACTGAAAGTGGCCAATCTCTTCTCCCAGAGAACCTTGGAGCAAGAAAAGATGCAGCCTGGACAGGCAAGCAGACATCTCTGTAGGGCAAGGTAGTGTTACAGAGCTTTAGGCATGAAGTCAGCCTGTGCCTGACCATGGCATCGGGTTAGACTCTTAACATTTTTCTGCCTCAATCTCCTCCTCTGCCCAGCAAGAATCATAGTAGCTCCTGATTTTAGGGTATGCATAAACATTATTGACATGCTGGTAATGTGCTAGGTGTAGCACCCGACACTCGGCAACAGTTGTTAGAACAGTTTATAACACGGGAACAAGTTAAAATGGAGTGGGAAAAAAGTTATAGAATTGTGCATACGTTCTGATCTTGTGGGTGTGAAAAAGCAATCAATTACCCAAAAACCTGACCATGCAACGGAAAGACCAGCAAGAAGCAAGATGTCCCCGAGTGCTATGTCTGAGTGATGACATTATGGGTGATTTCCCTGTGTTTTCCACATTTTCTATAATGAGCAAGTATGACTTCTCATTTAAACTTGTTACTGAGGAAAAAAAAATTATCTCCTTACTCTGTGAAAACCAAAGAGAACAGCCGGCCCTTGCTGGAATTTGTCAGGAATTCCCAGGCTGATCGCTTGGGGTTTAACATCCAAATTTAGTCACGGTGGAGATAAAGCCTGTAAATTTCACGAGGAGGCCAGGCCAAGCTGACATGTTTGCTTGGGCTTTCTCCAGGCCAGCGCTGAGCCTCAGCCTTATGGTGGTATCAGGAGAGGGGAGTGGAGTAGAAGGCACTGGAGCTGCCCCAGCCTGTTCTTCCTGCCTAGTGACAGCCCAGCTTGGTGACACTGAATTTATAGTGAATTTGAAAGAAATGAGCCGGTGTTTATTGAGCAGTAGAAACCATGGTTTTCATGCATTCTCACAATGAGTCTTCCCAGCAATGTTCTCCACATTTTACAGGTGAAGGAACCAAGGTATCCTCCAGGGTAAAAACAGGATGAGCCTGCTCCAGAATTGAGCCACGTTTTATACTCCTTCCCCACGGCCCTGGACAGCGGCAGAGGCTCCCCAGTCTACCCAGAGGCTCCTTTCTCTAATAGTATTCTTCCCATGATGCCATCTGATTCTACTGGGCCAGAGGACATTTTCACAGATGCCATCTAATAGTCAGGATATTTTTTAAAATAAAGGAAAAATAACCATATTAATCTAGACTTTGATTGTTAAGAGACTGAAACTCAAGAAAGTAGAATTTATTGACTTACACAACCAAAGTTCTGGCTTCAGGAATGGCTGGATCCAGGTGTTCACATGGTATCATGTACCTGGCTCTGTCAGTTCTGTTTTCCTCTGGGTTGTCAGTAGGCAGGCTCTCCCTTTGTAGTACTCAAGATGGCCCCAGTATTTCCTAACTTACATCATGCCAGCTTAGTCACCCTTTAAAGAAGCTTCATGAAATCTCCCATGCTTGTCTGACCCCATAGATCTAAGACCCAATCCCTGAGGCAATCTCTGTCACATGGCCACTACACACATAACACAAAACCAAGTATGACATGGCCCTTGCTCTCAAGAGCCAACAATCTGGAGCAGAAGGCTGACTCTTAAACAGAAATGTTCAGACCAGTGAAGTTCCGAGGCTTAATTTAGTGATGTAATGAGTACCCTTCTTTCTCCTGACTACTTGAATTCGTACTAAGGCCTGTGCCATGCTCCTTGGCCTGTCTTGTTTCTCCTCCAATGCTTTGGCACCCTGACCTTCCTCAGCCCCTGCTGCCTGAAGCTCAACCAGCTTCCCAGGAGTCTGGCCACAGTATATATACACACATTTCTTTTTCCTTCATTCCCTGGGGTGCTGCAGGCCAAACAGTCCTACGCAAAGATAATAACTAGTCATTTGCTGAGCATTTCCTATACATAAAGAACATCAATAACGTCATTACGTCCTTTCAACAGCTCTTTGACATAGGTTTCATCACAACTTGCACTGTACAGGGGAGAGAAGACCCAGACTTGAGACTTGGTGCTTATCCCACTCTCTATGGCCTCTCAAAGACCAAAGAATTTTTTTCTTTCTTTCTGTTTGTAATTATTTCCCAGGATCAGGGTCCAGCGGTCTCCAAGGGCGAATGGGCCTGGGATATTTGCACCTGGGATGTCGTTGGGTCCCACAAGCAGCCTCTCGTAGGTATCATCACCCCATTTTCCCAATCCATGAGGAGGAGCTCGGAGAGGGCAGTGGCCGCCCTGGATCACAGAGCTTGTGGGCCAGGACGGGAGCCGGACCTGGCTCTTTCCAAGGCAGGCACAGCTTGTCTGGGAGTAAATTGTCAGGAGGGAGGGGGGACAAAGAGGGAGAGAAAGCAGGAGCCAGAAACAGAGAGAGAAATAAAAAGAGAAAAAACAAGAAGGGTCCCGGTGGGACACCTAGCCGGGCAGAGAAGAGCCATCCTGGGTGCTGGGCTCACACGCTGTCCTTTCTCTCCATACCAGGATGGGAGCTGTGTGTTCCCTGCACACTCAACTCTCCCGGATCTGGGAAGCTGGTTTTGGCTCCTACACAGGGATGCAGAAAACATGAATATTCCAGGCATCCAGCTCTGGGAACAGAACCTGACCTTGACTGTTAAATGCACCAGGGAGAAACTTGGAGAAGCCTGAGGGGAGGCTGTGTCAGCGCCGAGCACCTCACCAGCCTGCTCGCCTCTCCTCAGCTGCCCCCTCTCCCGGCTGGCCTGCCCGGGTCTGAACCTTTCTCCTCAGACTGAGAGCCCTAGAATCCTTTCCCATCCCTCCCAAGCTGCTTGGGGAAGGCTTCAGGGCTCCAAAGGACTGGCTTAGGGTCATCTGAGCAGGCTCAAGTTCCTATCCCTACTCCTTCCCAGCAAATGGGCTGACGCCTCCCTGAAGGGTCTCCCATGTGAGGGTGCCCCACAAATCAAAGTGACTGTGCCCCTGGAGCTGTGTGAGGATGAGGAGACCCCATCTCAGAGCCTCATTCTCTTCAGTCGAAGTGGGCCCTGTCAGAGGAGGCTGCATCTGGGTATCTCAAATCAGAGCAGGTGCTTCTGACTCTAACACAAAGTCTAGATTGGTGGATGACAGTTCCCTCTGGCTGAGACAGACAAACCTGGGCCAACCTGGGTCCTTCTGGGGGATCTTGGATGAATTACTTGCTCTCTCTGAGCAAGTTTCTGGGCCTTTGGAGAAGTGGAGTGTCAGTCACCTTATAGATTATACCAGGTTGAACTGTCCGGAAGTAGCTGTCATTTAGCAAGTACTAAATACAGTAGTACTCCCCTTATCCTCAGTTTCCCTTTCTGTGATTTCAGTTATCCATAGTCAAACTTGGCCCAAATATTACATGGAAAATTCTAAGGTAAACAATTCATAAGTTTTAATTCATCACTGAGTAGTGATGAATTCTCCCATTGTCCTGCTCTGTTCCACCTGAATTGGGAATCCCTTTGTGCAGCGTATCCACACTGTATGTGTTACCCAACCTCTACTCATTTAGCAGCCACCCAGCCAGGGATGTAGCTCAGTGGTGCCATGCCTGCCTGGCAGGTGCAAGGTCCTGAGTTCAATCCCTGGTAGCAGAAGAAAAAAAAAGAATCATTTAGTAGCCATCCTAGTTGTCAGATCAACTGTGGTGGCACCACGGTACCTGTGTCCAAGTGACCCTTACTACTTCATGGTGGCCCCAAAGCACAAGAGTGGTGATGCAAAGGAGGTACCAGGGCATGAACCACAGAGAGCAGATCAGCTCTGGTCCTGTGTGGCTACACTGCCTGGCACATAGGAGAAAATATACGGTATTGAGGGTTGGATACTTTTGGATGCTTCAGCCATCCACTGGGGGTCTTGGAGCACGATCACCATGGATAAAGAGGGACTAGGCAGCATTGCTGGCTACACCATGTCCCATCCCTACCCTGGAGCTGCCTGTGTCCTCCCACAGCCCCCATCAGAGCCCAGTGTTCAGTGACTGCCCCACAACACTCTTAGCAGGAGCTACAGGTGATGTTCTGTAGCCCTCAGCACAGGGTCCACAAAACAGCCCAACTTAACCCTGACCAGTGTGCAGTTTCTGGCATTAGTACACCTCCTTCCCCCAAGAACAAAAACCCAGGAAGGTCAGATAGATGACTGGGCTTTCGGGTCCTGTGCTGAGCCTGCCCCAGCCCCTCTTCCCTCTCTGTTTTGGCTCCTGGTCAGGAATGCTGGCCCCAGGCCTGGGAGGCTGACTGACCTCGGCTCCAGAGGGAAAGTCACACTTCTGCTCAGCGTCCAGAAGCGGCCCAGCATTCCAGGGGAGGCGTGGGAAGGGCCAGGCTTC